CCTAGAGTTAGAGTGTCAAAGGGGGACAGGACCAGCACATCCATCTGTCCACAAATGCTGGGCTATCAGCATATTTGTCTTACTTTTGGAGAGACAGTTCTTCAGAGGTGATGTTTCCTTACTCTGTAAAATTCACATAACATTACTAACTTCTTATGTGACTTGACTTTTCTAAGTAAGATTCAGATGGATTAATGAGTATAAACAAGTTGTACAAACTATAAAGTTCTGCATACAAATAACTGCTTTGTTGCTATGATTATAATAATCATTACAGAAGCAATGTTTATGACAATTATCTATGCTCCAGACATAGTTCAGATTTCACTAATTTTTCCATTAATGTTCTTATTTCCAGGATCCAATCTAGGATTCCACATTGCAGTTAGTTGGCCTGTCTCCTTAGTGTCCTCTAGTCCATATTAGGTTCTCAGTCTTTGCTTATTTTTCATGACTTTCTCAATTTTGAGGTATTCTGCTTTTGAGGTATCTTTTGGGCTATCCTTTATTGGATATCCTTTATTATTTATCCTTTTGAATTTGTTAGATGCTCTTTTTGTGATTATACCAGGGTAATGGGTATTGGGAAAGAATAAGACCATGGAGGTGACGTGCCCATCCCATCACGTGATATCTGGGATACTATACCCACATGATGCTACTGGTGGTGTAATCTTGATCATTTGCTGAATGTCTTGGTCCATTCAGGCTGCTGTAACACAGTTCCATGGACTGGGTGTTTTACAGACAACGAACCTCTAATTTCTCACAGTTCTGGAGGCTGGGAGGTCCAAGATGAAGTGTTAACATTTTCCTTTGCTTTTTTTTGTGAAAACATTTGTCTATACTGTATTTTTGGAAGCTCCTGTGATGTGTTACGACTGGTATTTTCTTTTTATATATATATATATATATATATATATATATATATATATAAATGTTTTATTTCTGAGAGAGAGAGGCAGCATGAGCAGGGGAAGGTCAGAGAGAGAGGGAGACACAGACTCTAAAACAGGCTCCAGGCTCTGAGCTGTCAGCACAGAGCCTGATGCGAGGCTCAAACCTTCAGGATCATGATCTGAGCCAAAGTCGGATGCTTAACCGACTGAGGCACCCAGGCGCCCCAAGACTGGTATTTTCACAACAGCTAGGTTTTATGGAAAAACAAAAGAAGACCCAACAATCCAACAAAAACTATGTAGCTTTCATTGGGAGAGTGCCCTTTATACCTGGCCTCTTAAATGTATAGTTTAGATTACTTTGTGGTTTGGAAATGATCTGTCTTGCACTATTTACAATAGCCATATTTTGGGAAGAGCCCAAATGTCCATTGACTGCTGAATGGATGAAGAAGACATGTGTTGTGTGTGTGTGTGTGTATGCACATGCGCGCGCGTGCGCACACACACACACACACACACACACACTGGAATATTACTCAGTGATCAAAAAGAATGAAATCTGGCCATTTGCAACAACGTGGATGGAACTAGAGTGTATTATGCTAAGCAAAATAAGTCAGAGATTGACATGATTTCACTCATGAGGAATTTAAGATACAAAACAGATGAACATAAAGGAAGGGAAGGAAAAATAATATGAAAACAGGGAGACAAACATGGGGAAGATGGGCTAAATGGACGATGGGCATTAAGGAGGACACTTGTTGGGATGAGCACTGGGTGTTATATGTTACGTGATGAATCACTAAATTTTATTCTTGAAATTATTATTACACTATATGTTAACTAGGATTTAAATTTTTAAAAAATGACCTGTCTTTTGTAATATATAATTATTTGTTTGGACCAATATAGTGACTAATATTTTCATTTCTGTGCAAAATATTCAAGGTGTCTCTTAGATAAATAAGATCTTAAAATGAGACAAGATTTTTCTTTCTCTTCCAGTTAGTATTTATTTATTTATTTTAAATATTTTATTTATTTTTGAGAGAGAGAGAGAGACAGCATGAGCAGGGGAGGATCAGAGAGAGAGGGAGACACAGAATCTGAAGCAGGCTCCAGGCTCTGAGCTAGCTGTCAGCACAGAGCCTGATGCGGGGCTCAAACCCACAGACTGTGAGATCATGACGTGAGCTGAAGTCGAACGCTTAACCGACTGAGCCACCCAGACACCCCCCAGTTAGTATTTATAATAGTGGGCAGCAACAGCTAAATAAATGCTGATTATTGATTTAAGTGACAAAAGGATGTCAAGACATTTTTCTTTGTTTGAAGAGTCTGAATTATGGGTTTTATTTTATCTTTTGTATAAAGAAGGAGCAACTATTTGTTTTTCCTAAAATTCACACAAATTACTTAAATTATTTAGAAAAGGGATGTCAAAATTACCATAAGAAAATAAGATATCGTAACTAATCAGATTTGCAGACTTTTTAAAGGGTTTAGCTTCATTTCATAAGACATAACCCCAGTTGGTGAAACCTAGGTGTCTTAAATGATTTCTAACATGGTACTTTCAATGTCAGTGTGCAAAATAAAACCTCTTTTAACACAGCTCTTACTGGAAAGGAAAGACAGATTTGTGAATATTTGCAGTTGTAACTTCACAAAATTGTCTTTGCATAGTAGTTTCTTTTTACTTTTACTCTTTTCTGCAGCTAAGGGAGAATAGGAAACTAGGTTTTTTGTTTGTTTTGGAGGGGATTGTTGTTTTGAGAGGGAGCTGATGGTTTCGGGGATTTGTCATTTGCTAGCAGCTTGAAGTCTAAAGTTTGGTTGCTGAACGCTAAAATTCCATCGGATGCTACTGGGATTAAACAGCAGACTTCAGGGGTGCCCAGTGCCTGGGTGGCTCAGTCAGCTAAGCATCTGACTTCAGCTCAGGTCATGGTTCATGAGTTAAAGCCCCTATTGGGCTCCACGCTGAGGGTACATAACCTGGTTGGCATTCTCTCTCTGCCCCTTCCATGTGCACGCACACTCTCTCTTGCTTTTTTCTCCCAAAATAAATAAGTAAACTTAAAAAAAATGCAGGCTTGAGGAAGTTAAACTTTTTTTTTCGGAATTTTCTGTGTTTTCACAGAATATGAAGGTATAATTTTAAGCATCTACACTGGTTTCTTATTAGAATGATAATATGAGCTGGGAATGGGAAAGCTTTTATCTATCGACTCTGTTAACAAGCCCATGGTTGACTGACTTGGATGGGATCCAAGGGCTTGCTCTTGGCCAAACTTTCTCTGCCAGGTGCCCCCAGCAACTCTTGGCTTACATCCTTCCATCTTAAGTCCAGAAGCAAGCCAGGAATTGAGGTTGTTTGGCCTTGCTTGGGTCCATTTCAGAAAGTGCTATGGCCAGGAACACACAGGGGCTCTGATTGGCCACGTCTGTGTCACTTGTTAGTCTCACTTATAAAGTTGCCTCATTATGGGCTTAAGGTTGGGTAATGGGACAGTTGGTTATTTAAGGAAAATTCAGGTGCTGTTGCCAAAAGAAGGATACAGTAGATCTTAAACAATTGTGTTGGTAGATCATTGATAGAGATTTTATTTGCAGCTAGTATCCAAGGGGAAACTTTCAGTGTACTGTGTTTTACACTAAGTACTAAATTATTGTCACTTTGTCAACCACATTTTAAGAATGATTTCTAACAACTATTTACCTGTTTTATAAATACCTGATTTTAAATCTGTATCAATTTTAGAATCTATTATTAAAGCAAATCTAACCTTGGCCATGATTTCAAACTGGCCATATGAATAGGTCTGAACTGCGAAGAGCTGGTTTTATTTCTGTCTGCAGTCCAGTTTGTCATCGATGTGTGAACACATGCACGGTGCCTGAAGTTTTCACTTTAAAGTTCTTGTCAGTCAGTTGGGGACCCAACTCTTGATTTTAGGTCAGGTCATGATCTTGCAGTTCATGAATTCGAGCCCCGCATCAGGCTCTGTGCTGATGATACAGAGCCTGCTTGGTTCTCTCCCTCTCCTTCCCTCCCTCCCTCCCTCCCTCCCTCCCTCTCTCTCTCTCTCTCTCTCTCTCTCTCTGTCTCTGTCTCATACACAATGAATGAGTGAATGAAAGAATAAATGACTGTTTTGTGTGGTGTATAAGTGAAATAGCATAGTGGAACCAATTTGTGTTCAAATTCTGGACCTGCCGATGACTACTTTTATTGCTCTGTGCCTCCATTTCTCCATCTGTACGATGGGGATAGCATGGTAATCTGTATAAGATGGCTGTGCGGATGAATGAATTAATCCACATAAAAGTTGTCAATCAACTGGTCACTGACAGGTAGAGTTGATGTTTCCTATGATGTCATGCCTTCCTATTGATTCAAATATTTTTGTTCATATTTGAAATTTCTTATACTAGAATTTAATTTTCAAAAATTGTCTTAGTGGTTTTAATAATGGTATCAAGCCTCAATATCAGAACAATTGCTGTGACGGGGTGCCAGGGTGGTTCAGTCTGTTGAGCTCTTGATTTCAGCTCAGGTTGTGATCCCAAGGTCATGGGATCAAGGCCCACGTCAGGCTCTGCACTGAGCATGGAGTCTGCTTGAGATTTTCTCTCACTCTTCCTCCATCCCTCTCCCCAGATTGCATATGCATGCTCGCTCACTTGCTCTCTCAAAGGAAAATTAAAAAAAGAAAAAACACTGTTGTAACTTAAAGACCCAGACTGAGGAATGTCTGTATGTAGAGACACTGTAAAATGCGTGTCTCAGACATTTGTGTCTCCACAAAGGAGCTGAGTGAAGTATGGAGGTGCAAACATACACATCACCAACGCCTGGTAATGCAAAGGGAGGGAGTTGTGGGAATGCCAGTTACTGTGTAAACTGCATCTGCCAGCTCTGCGCCTTGAGAACTTGCTGTAGAAATCCCAACTAGGTGTAAAGTAAAACTGTGGACCCCCTTAAGGCGTTTTTTTGTTTTTTTAGACCTTTTGTAATTCAAAATTGTTTTATTATAGATGCCAGTAGTTGTAAATTTAGAGACTGTAATATTTCCTTTTACTGTTTTTCAGTGTTTGAAAGATGTATGGTGATCCCAAAACCGTCAGATAAGACAACTTCTAGCAACTGCAGGGGAAGTTTGTCTACACTCAGGCTGCAGTATTTTCAGCAAACATGATTGGACAGTGGGCCTGCGACCTATCTTTTGGTAAAGTAAAAAATGTGAGCCAGTGAAGCCAAATCCTTCTAGCAAGCAGCATGCCTGGCTCCTTGCTGATTGCAAATAGGTGTCTAAAATGTGAATTGGAAATCTCGTGACTCTAATACTTCCAGCTAACGTGGCATCATAGGTGTTTCCTAAGTTTTATGCCGTGGACAAAAAATACTTGTGTCTACCATCTCCATCAGGAACTCTGCTGTGGAAGCTTCGTTTGTGTCTTTCCATTTTTCTGTCTCCAGCTCCCTACCTTCTGCACGAGTGTGCCCTCTTACTAAGTAATTCAAGAATAAGGTCCTGGAATACTTAAGTCACAAACATAAGAAGATAAATAAAACTACTATATTTTCCCACTATCTTGGCCATCATGATGTCTTATAGTTAAAATCCAATGAAAATGATTTTTGAAACCCCCTGGGATAAATTAGAAGACCCTGCACACCCACCACGAAACATACAAGGCTTAAAAGTTGCAACTTTTTTCTCAGCAGGTATCAGTTGTAAATAACAAACTAGGGGCCAAAATGCGAAACCAAAAAAGAAGCAGCTACGTGTAGTTAGTAATTTCTAGTTTAAACTGTAACTGAACATTGTGGCTTCGTATGTATTATTTTATATTGTACTATTCCCATTGCTGATGGTTTAGACTTTAATAAGAGAAATTCCATAGTTTTTAAATACCACAAAATGAGAATATTTGAACAGTGTATTCTAGAAAGCAATATACTAACTGAAGTAAATGCTTGTATATATTAAGATATAACCTTAAACCTTTTTCGAATGCCTTAACTGTCAAATAATTAAAACTTTTAAAAGCATAGGATTGTAGTCAGCATGCTGGACTGAGAGGTAAACACTGAAGCGGTTAGAGCAGTTACTGATGCTGTCAGTGTTTAGCACTACATGTTTAGCAGTGTGTATGCTACAAAAGTGCAATATTAGACACTAGCTAGTACTGCTGCCTCATGTAACTCCGAAGAGGAAAACAGGATTTGATTAAGTGCACCTGTGTCTTTAAGTTACTCCTATTGTCCTTGGCTTGGATGCAATGCCATGCAGATTTATGTGGCTGCTATTTTTTTTATTTACTTTGCATTACTTTGATTAACACCTTGAACGGAGAGCCAAACATTCCCTCCTCACTTGACCAGCAATGGCCCTTTAACTGCAATAGGAAAAAAAGAAAAAAAGAAAAAAAAAACTTTTTGTGTGAAAACTGGTGACAACTGGCACTTAGATCAGAAAAAGAGTTGTTTATACTTGATGCCTTAAGATGCTGTCTGCCCAAAGCTCTGAAAGCCTTAAAGATAGAAAGTAATACTTAACTACAATGCTACTGAGTTTTCGTAGAATTGTTACATTTGATAATAAAACACGTCTGTTTAATCTCAAAGTGTGTGTTCTTTTTTCATTACTAAAATGGAAAAAAGGGTGTGGGTAAGCCATCTTTTCCTGTGGTGGTAAGGTTTTTCCCTCAGCTGGCTATAAGGATTTGCTTGCACTCTGTCTAAAAAAAATTTTTTTCTAAAAAAAAAATTTTTTTTTAAATATTTGGCGGGGTGCCTGGGTGGCTCAGTCGGTTAAGCGTCCGACTTTGTCTCAGGTCATGATCTCAACGGTTCGTGGGGTTGGACTCTGTGCTGACAGCTAGCTCAGAGCCTGGAGCCTGTTTCAGATTCTGTATCTCCCTCTCTGACCCTCCCCTGCTCATGCTGTATCTCTCTCTCAGAAATAAAAAAATTATTTTAAATGTTTATGGGCACCTTCATGGCTCAGGTGGTTAAGCCTCTGACTTTGGCTCAGGTCATGATCTCACAGTGAGTTCGAGCCCTGCGTTGGGATCTGTGCTAACAGCTCGGAGCCTGGAGCCTGCTCTGGATTCTGTGTCTCCCTCTCTTCCTCTCCCCCACTCCCACTGTCTGTCTCAAAAATAAACATTTAAAAAAAAATTTTAATCGAGCCAATCTAGGAGGTGCTGTTCTCAATGAAAAGAGTATTAGAATAGAAATGAACTGATGGAAATATTCTGTTTATGGATGTCTTTGGTTCAAGGTTGAATCTAATCTGTGATCTATTCATGTTACAGTCTGTGTGCTAATATAAGGAAAAAGACTAGACAGGAAATCACCTAAACCCTGAAGACCAGAAGGCCACAAGGATGAAATTCTCGAGTAAAACCACTAAGTGGTTGCTATAGGGAAAAAACTGGTTTTCTTCATTTTTACTGCTTCCTTTGTACTGAGTAAGATATTGAAGGCCAAGATCCCAAGGCATGGACCTAAAAAAAAAAAAAAAAAGGTTCAGAACCAAACTACTTGACTTGTCCCAGCTTAGACCTAACTTGTCTTTATTTCAATGTAGTTCAGCACAATTCCATTATGTGAAATGTGGAGGGATATTTTAAACCAAAAACCGAGCCATAACTTATTACATTGGAAGAATATACCATAAACTATAACAAAACAATCACTGAGAACACATTTTGTCTAACAATAATAAGCATTATATTGGTTAAATGAATCTTCACAATAACCTATTATAGCAGGTACAACTATTATTAAGAGACTAGGAAATTTAAGTATAGGTCAAGTAAAACTTCACAGTTGTACAGAAAGTAAAGGAAGGGATCTGGAAAATAGAGTGAGATTTGGGAGACTGGTTGATATGGTTGCTCCTTTATACACTTCAGCTCTTTTTCCTAGCACTGCACACACACAGTTCATTGTTTACAGTGTCACAAAGTAGGGCTTCATAATGTTCCTTTTGTCCACCTTTTTACTCCCTTTGGTCTGCCTTTTTTTAAATTCCCAGCATGCCATTAATTCAGCTGAATCAGTAGCTGCATATTGTTATTGTTCTATGTAAAGAAATAGAAAACAGCTAGTTACAAACTTGAATTTGAGCTAGTGTTTTCTATCTGAAATCAGTATGATCGTAGAATTTAACACTGAGGCGCCCGGGTGGCTTAGTTGAGCATCGGACTGTGACTCAGCTCTTGATCTCACGGTTTGAATTTGAACCCTACATGAGGCTTGCTACTGTCAGGGCGGAGCCCATTTGGATTCTTTGGCCCCTTCTTTCTCTGCCCCTCCCCTGCTCACACACTCTCTCTCTCAAAAATAAACAAACATAAAAAAATAAGAAAGGGCACCTGGGTGGCTTAGTTGATTAAGTATCCTACTCTTGGTTTTGGCTCGGGTCATGATTTCGCAGTTTGTAAGTTTGAGCCCCACATCCAGTTCTGCGCTGACAGTGCAGAGCTTGCTTGGGATTCTCTGTCTCCCTTTTCCTCTGCCCCATTCTTGTTCATGCTGTCTCTCAAAAATAAATAAACATTAAAAAAAATTTAAACACCAGAAACAAAACATCTAAAAATATCAATGTAGGGGTGAGTGTCTGAGTGACTCAGTCAGCTGGTCAAGAGTATCCAACTCTTGATGTCAATCCAGGTCATGATCCCAGGGTTCGGACTGAGTCCTGAGTTAGGTTCCTTGCTGAGCATGGAACTTGCTTGAGATTCTCTCTCTCTCTCTCTCTCTCTCTCTCTCTCTCTCTCTCCTGTCCTCCCTTCCTCCCTCCCCTCCTCACATGCCCTCGTTTCTCTAAAATAAAAAACGAACTTTTTTTTTAATTAAAAAAAATCAATGTAGGGATTCCTGGCCCACTCAGTCAGTGGAGCATGTAACTCTTGATCTCAGAATTGTGAGTTTGAGCCCCATGTTGGGTGTGAAGATTACTTAATCTTTAAAAAATATGAATTGCTGCTGGGTCTTTTGGCTAAGATCAAATGTAGTATTTGTTCTTGTCAGTTTAATATCTTGTATGTCCTATATCAAAGGACCATGTATTAAGTGGGGTTTTGGAGCAGGGAGATGGAATAGGAGTTTGCTCTGTCCACTCCACCCATTGACTTGGTATTGCAGTACTTTCAGGAATGGTGCCCTCCTTCAGGGACAACAGTAGGAAAAAAAATCAATGAGAATTCTTGGCTTGTTCTGCTTCTAGCATCCCTTGTGATTCATCCTTCCCTACCTGATAGTGTTTCTCATGGTTCCTTCCTCAGCTACATTTTCCATCTTTTCCGTCCTTTCATTCTCTGGGCAAACTCATTTTCTTCACACCTCTGTAATGCCACAGACTTCTATATTCAACACTATAATGGACATTTCCATTTGGACATCTCCTCTGTCAGTTCAAATTCAACATGCATAAAACAGAACTTATCTATGATCAAACACCTGCTTGTATCTTGTAGTCTTTTTATACTCCTTGTTTTCTTTTTACTTCAGGAAACAGTGCTGCATACCACCGGATGTTAAAATTAAGAAGGTCATTCTTTAACTTTCTCTTTCACGTGTTTTTGCCTCAATACTGGGGTCCTTGAATCAAATTCTGTTTTCCTTTCTTGCCAGATGCTTAAAAAAAAAAAAAAAAAGCCCACAGATCTGGGGCGTCTGGGTGGTTCAGTCAGTTAAGTGTCCAGCTTTGACTCAGATCATGATCTCTTGGGTTTGTGAGTTCGAGCCCCGTGTCAGCCTCTGGGCTGATAGCTCAGAGCCTAGAGCTGCTTCGGATTCTGTGTGTATCCCTCTGTCTCTACCCACCCCCCCATGCTCTGTCTCTCAAAAATAAACATTAAAAATAAATTAATTAACACAGATCTGATTACACGTTCCTTAGAAAAACACTTATTGAGGTATGATTGAGATACAAAACGCTGTACATATTTAATGTATACAACTTGATGAGTTTGGAATTAAGTATATACTCACCACAATTGATGTCACAAACATCTGTCGCCTCTAAAAGTTTTCTCCTGGACTCTATTTTTTGTATGTGTGTGATAACAGCACACATAATGATTACATATTCTTAAAATCTTTTTTTAATAAATAATTTTTTTAAGTTTATTTATTTTGAGAGAGAGAGCATGAGCAGGGGAGGTGCAGAGAGAGAGGGAAAGAGAAAATCCAAAGCAGGCTCCACACTGACAATGTGGAGCCCAACACGGGGCTCGAACTTGCAAACCATGAGATTATGCCCTGAGCCAAAACCAAGAGTCTTTAAGCAAGAAAAAAAATCCATCGAGCCATCCAGGTGCCCCATTAAAATCTGTTGATTAAATGTTCCCATTTGCTGTAGGAGAAAATCCACACATGTATGACTGCATGGTATTGCGTACGATGCTTCCTGCTACTTCTTGAGCCTTTTTTTCAAGCCACTCTTCCCCTCATATGCTACATTTTGTTGTGCTTTTTCTAGTTCTTTGTGGTTTCTGTCTGAAATACCCTTTTTTCCCCTCTGTTATTCGTCTTTTCACTAACTGCTACTCAAATACTTTCTCAGGGAGGTCTTTTCTAATTCACTGAGATCTCCCTGTAACCATCTCCCCATATTGTAACTTTTGTCATGGCAGTGTGTATCTTCTTCCCCATTGCATCCTTAATGACTAGCCAATTCTTGCGAGATATACATACAATAACTGTTTGCTGAATGAACAAGTTTATGTTCATTCCTGAAGATGAAAAGTAATGTGATTCTTAAAAAAACAGAAAGTAATTCTATACAGTTTTAAGAATTTTTAGGGGCGCCTGGGTGGCTCAGTCGGTTAAGCGTTTGACTTCGACTCAGGTCAGATCTCATAGTTCGTGGGTTCGAGCCCTGCATCAGGCTCTGTGCTGACAGCTCAGAACCTGGAGCCTGTTTCAGATTCTGTGTCTCCCTCTCTGCCCCTCCCCCACTCATGTTCTGTCTCTCTATATCTCAAAAATAAATAAACTATTAAAAAAAGAATTTTTATAAATTTAAGTGTTGCTAAACAGGGGCACCTGGATGGCTCAGTCAGGTAAGCATCTGACTTCGGCTCAGGTCAAGATCCCACAGTTTGTGGGCTCGAGCCCCGCGTTGGGCTCTCTGCTGTCAGTGTGGAAACTGCTTCCGATCTTCTATCTCCCTCTATCTCTGCCCCTCCCCTGTTCACACACACACACGCACACGCACACGCACACACACACACACACACTCCCTCTCAAAAACAAGTAAACATTAAGAAAATAAATGTTTCAAACAAACAAACAAAAAAATGTTGCAAAATAGCAAAAATTTGTTTTTCTTTAGCACCATTAAAAATGTTTAAATGTGGGGTGCCTGGGTGGCTCAGTCAGTTAAGCGTCCGACTTCGGCTCAGGTCATGATCTCACGGTTCGTGGGTTCGAGCCGTGTGTCGGGCTCTGTGCTGACAGCTCAGAGCCTGGAGCCTGCTTTGGATTCTGTGTCTCCCTCTCTCTGCCTCTCCCCTGCTCATGCTGTCTCTCTCTCTCTCTCAAAAAAAAAAAAAGTGTAAATGATAGTATTAATGCAGTTATTAATGGTATGCTTTTTATTTTGAAGTACAAATTCAGAGTCACTTTTTACATTGTACACATCTAAACTATGCATCCAAAGAGACCGTTTCGGATAAAACTTACCTAAGCATGATGATTTTGGCTACTTCTGCCATCTACTGGACGTATAGTGCTACTGACTCTTCGGTCTATTCTCAGCCAGTGTTTACTCAGGATTCCAATAGGATTTTTAAAATGTATCTATATTTAAATTGTGTCATAATTAACTTTTTCACTGTATTGAAAAAAAATAGGGGTGCCTGGGTGGCTCAGTCGGTTAAGTGTCAAACTTTGACTCAGGTCATGATCTCACAGTTCGTGAGTTTGAGCCCTACATTGGGCTTTGTGCTGAAAGAGCCGAACCTAGAGCCTGCTTCAGATTCTGTGTCTCCCTCTCTCTCTGCCTCTCTCCCACTCATGCTCTGTCTCTTTCTTTCTCTCAAAAATAAACATTTTTTAAAAATGTTTTATTTATTTCTGAGAGAAAGAGAGAGAGGCAGCGTGAACAGGGGAGAGTCAGAGAGAGAGGGAGACACAGAATCTGAAGCAGGCTCCAGGCTCTGAGCTAGCCGTCAGCACAGAGCCTGATGTGGGGCTCAAACCCAAAACTGTGAGATCATGACCTCAGCTGAAGTCGGACGCTTAATCAACTGAGCCACCCAGGTACCCCAAAAAATAAACATTTAAAAACTTTTAAAAAATGTTATGGCAATTTCTCTATTACACAGAAATTGTTACATTGCTAAATCATAATTTTGGTGAGAAACAATTCCCCCCCAAAATCATTGTGCTTTTTTGGGCTTAAGATACCTATAATTTGGAAGTGTGATTCCCAACAGAGCAGGTCTAGAGATGCCTGGTAAATCACCTGCACTGACTGTTTTTAAAATTTTTTGGGGGGGCGCCTGGGTGGCTTAGTCGGTTAAGCATCCGACTTTCGCTTAGGTCATGATCTCGCCGTTCGTGGGTTCAAGCCCCGCGTCGGGCTCTGTGCTGACTGCCAGCTCAGAGCCTGGAGCCTGTTTCAGAGTCTGTGTCTCCCTCTCTCTCTGACCCTCCCCTGTTCACGCTGTCTCTCTCTCTCCTAGAAATAAATTTTAAAAAATTAAAAAAAATAAATCTAAAAAAAATAAATAAATAAAATTTTTTTTTAATGTTTTATTTATTTCTGAGAGAAAGACAGTGTGAGCAGGGGAGGGTCAGAGAGAGAGGGAGGCACAGAACCTGAAACAGCCTCTAGGTTCTGAGCTAGCTGTCAGCCCAGAGCCTGATGTGGGACTTGAACTCACAAACTGTGGGATCTTGACCTGAGCCAAAGTCAGATGCTTACCTGACTGAGCCACCCAGGTGTCCCTGCACTGGCTGTTTGAGATGTAGTTCACTGGTAGCTCCAGGATTGCCCGAGGCCCATCCAGGTCTGGCCTGAGCCTTTTATATGATGGCAGAAGAGCAGAAGCAAAGGACAAATTGTTTTTTTCTGAATTAGTTCGATTGAGGTATTCAGAGTCCACCTGCTATCTAACTGCCTTCCCTCCATCATAAGAAAGAATTTGATCTGTTAATTACACATTCCCAGAAGGCCTGAAAGCAATCAGTGATAGGTGGCTTCAAATGGGGCCATCTCAGTCCATGTAAACAGGGCTGCCAGAGTTAGCAGAAACAAACAAAACACCAAGCTGAACTGGACCAAAACCCAGATTCTCAATGAAATGGGAATTTCAGATAAACAACAGATAATTTTTATTAAATATGGCCCCAAATAATACATGAGACATAGTTATACAAAAGTGTTCTGCATTATACCTGGCAACTCTATTATAATTCAATTCAATTTCACAAATATTTAGAGGGCACACTATCTGAAAGAAGAGAGGGTCGAATCTTGGTACAAAGTCAGCAAACGGTGTCTACTAAAACAGAAGCTTTGCTGGGAAAATCTCAATAATAGACCACTAAATACCAATAATGTTTTGCTGTATGAGTATTCTTTCATATGACCAATTTGGTCAAAAATCTCTTTCTAGAGGAGGTTTTTTTTTTTTAAATGTTTATTTATTTTTGAGAAAGAGACACAGAGCATGAATGGGGGAGGGGCAGAGAGAGAGGGAGACACAGAATCTGAAGCAGGCTCCAGGCTCTGAGCTGTCAGCACAGAACCCGATGCTCAAACCTACGAGATGTGAGATCATGACCTGAGCCGAAGTCGGACACTCAACCGACTGAGTCACCTGGGAGTTTTAACACCAGAAAAAACTGAACTTTAGAAAACATCCTAAGATTTCTTTTTTTTTTTTTTTTTAAATGTTTGATTTATTTCTAGGAGAGAGAGAGAGAGAGAGAGCGTGAGCAGGGGAGGGTCAGAGAGAGAGGGAGTCACAGACTCTGAAACAGGCTCCAAGCTCTGAGCTGGCAGTCAGCACAGAGCCCGACGCGGGGCTCGAACCCACGAACCGAGAGATCATGACCTAAGCGAAAGTAGGACGCTTAACCGACTAAGCCACCCAGGCGCCCCAAAACATCCTAAGATTTCTAATATGTCCAATTAAAAAATATTACTTTGGGGCACCTGGGCAGCCCAGTCAGTTAGACAGTCAGCTCTTGGTTTCAGCTCAGGTCATGATCTCATGGTTTGTGAGTTTGACCCCCACATCTGACTCTACACTAACAGTGCAGAGCTTGCTTGGGATTCTCTCTCTTTCCCCCTTTCTCTCTGCCCCTCCCCTACTTGTTCTCTCTCTCTCAAAATAGATAAACTTTTAATAATATATATATATTTATTTACTTATTTAATTTTTGGGAGAGAGTGTGCACATGAGTATGAGAGAGAGACAGAGAATCCCAAGCAGGCTCCATGCTCAGCACGGAACCTGATCCAGGGCTCAACACAGGGCTTGTTGCAGGGCTCAATCCCAAAACCCTGAGATCATGAACTGAGCTGAAATGGAGAGTCGGATGCTCAACCGACTGAGTCACCCAGGTGCCACAAAAAAAAAAAATTTTTTTTAATGGAATATACAATGTTTAATGTATCTCCCTTGGAAGGACTATAGAGTTCACAGTTTGAGTCTGTTGGTTTGTCTGATTGTAGCCCTCCTGATCAGTGGAAGAGGAAGACAGTAAATCCTTACAATGAGTGACAAGAGAGAAAATGTATCCAGGAGGCATGGAAACCCAGCTTCAAACAAGAAGGAATAAGAGAGGCCTAAGTGATTAACAACTGAGGAGCAACTGACACTATAGCCCTGATCCCCTTAAAAAATTTTTTTAATGTTAATTTATTTTTGAGAGAAAGAGAGAGAGGGAGGCAGAGAGAGAGGGAGACACAGAATCCAAAGCAGGCTCCAGGCTCTGAGCTGTCAGCACAGAGCTCGATGCAGGGCTCCAACTCACGAATTGTGAGATCATGACCTGAGCCGAAGTCGGACGCTTAACCAACTGAGCCACCCAGGCGCCCCAACCCTGACTCTCTTTTAATGAAGAGGTACAGGGGGTAAAATTCCACACTAATCCAAAATTACAGTCGGAACTTGTGAACAAAGCAGCTTCAAAATCAAGGGATAGCGGGGCGCCTGGGTGGCTCAGTCAGTTGAGCGGTTGACTTTGGCTCAGCTCATGGTCTCACGGTTCATGGGTTTGAGCCCAGCATCGGGCTCTGTGCTGGCAGCTAGCTCAGAGCCTGGAGGCTGCTTCGGATTCTGTGACTCCCTCTCTCTCTGACACTCCCCTGCTCACACTGTCTCTCTCTCTCTCTCCCAGAAATTAAAAAAAAAAAAAAATCAAGGGATAGTTCTCATGGATAGTGCAGAATACACAATTTATGTTGGTCTTCTACATCACACCCACAGCTAATGCTGGCTATTATCAACAACTTTTAAGTCAATTCCCAAAATATTTGTCTACAAAGCGTTATCAAAGAGTTGAAAGTATGGGGATCAAACATGACCAAAATACAAGCCAAAATATAATTGCAGTCAGGGTGCTACATGTTTCAAAAATGAATTGATTCCATTTGGTTAAGAGTTCACAAAGGAGACAGTGTCTGAGAATAATATAAACATTTTGTTAACCAGTGCATAATTGAGACTTTATTATAAAATAAAGATAAAACAAAATTTTGTATCTTTAGTAGAGGAAAAGCTGAACTTACACAAAGATTTTCTACTTCTGTTCTGTTCCTAATAATAAGATGAAACATTTGACCGAAAAGTGTTGTTGAAATAGACTTTGTTTGTATCTTTGTGACTTCCAGTAGCTAAATCCTCAGGGGCTTTTTTTTCTTTTAGGTTCATTTATTTTGAGAGAGAGGGAAAGAGTGTGCATGTGAGCAGGGGAGGGGCAGAGAGAGAGGGAGAGAGAGAGAATCCTAAGCAGGCTCCACAGTGTCAGTGCAGAGCCTGATGTGGGGCTTGAACTCATGAACCAAGAGATCATGACCTTAGCTGAAATCAAGAGTCAGATGCTCAACCAACTGAGGCACCCAGGCACCCCTCAGGAGCTTTTATTTTATATTATTCTCATGTATTGGCAGCACACTATACTTGGCATATTAAAAGCACAAGGTTACTTTCAAGATAGAAACCTCAGGAATCATCTTCAACCCATCATGTATTACATCCAATGTATCATCAGGTGCAGTAGATTTTATCTCCAGCATCTTTTGAGTCCATTTCCTTTGGACATTTTTATTTCCATGACCTTATTCCAAGTCTTTATTTCTTACCCAGTTTACTACAATAGGGTCCGAAACTCTATTTCTATGACTTAACTTCTTAAAACAAAGAACATCTTATATCACTCCCTAAAAATAGCCATTGCATACAGAAGGGGTCCTCACACATCCAGAGGTAGCAGGAAATTATACTGTTCTTTGAGAACAGATTTTAAATAAAGACTATGTGAGAAAATGATAGGTCTTCAGGATTGGCCAAGGTGAGGCAAAAGGTAATGAAACAACACTTCAAAATTTGGAGTGGAAACTGGCAGTCCATCGTTGCCGTGGGAAAATAATATAGTTATCATTGGCTTACCAAAGACTCAGGTATAACACCTACTGCAAGCTAACATCTTGAACAGTTAGGGTTCTGTCTTTTCAGAGCAAAATGAGAGACTGAGGGGAAATAGAATGCTCCACGCTCATTATCCTTATGTGGAGGTTTTAGGGTTCAAGGGAAAACCAATGTTTCTACTAGGGAACACAATAATGATTCCACTGATTTCTATCTAAAGATTGAATAATGATCTTTCTTTCATATTTGCATTTCATTTTAAGAAGCTGTTTTTCCTCTCTATCCACTACTGTTTAGAGCAGGCACATTTGTAATTAAGCCCATCAGTTACCTTGAACTGATTATGAAGGAACTATAGGCAGAATGGGCATCACCTCAAGACTTTCAGAAAACTGTTTTCCCATGAGTTGGAGCTTTTGCAGTGAAACTCAACTTTATTAGACGAGGGCGCTCTGATATCTGCTGCCCATGGCATATGGGCCCTTCCATATCTTGAGGTTTTCAAGGTCCGTATGTTCTGTTCTTTCACTGCTTTGATCTGGGTCTTTTCTGGTCCACTGACAACCTCCACCATGTTTCTAACTCCTGGTCCAGTGTTGTTTAAGGGAAAGACATATTTACAGGCAACCAAAGGCATAAAAAGAATTCCTGGAACTGTTTTTGCACAGCACTGAAAAACGATAGCGTCTCCACAAATATCCCAACTTGACAAAGTCGCTATTAGGAGACTCTACATGACTGCTGAGAATGTAATATTCACAATTACCCCATGACTCAGTGAGCTGTGTTTCTTTCTCTAGCGCTAAAGTGAGCATTTTGTCAGTTCTAAATCTACTTCTTAGTACTGCTGGGGGAAGGTTCCTGGCATTTGTTGGAGAATGCCATAAGTAACACAAGCAAAGATATAAACAGTTTAACAAGTTATAACTATATTCCGCTACTTTGAACTATCTAAATGCATCCCGCTCCCCGCATTGACCATTGACCATTACTGTTTCTTTAAATAGTATCTTGAAACGCAAATGAATTTAACCAGTTTGGGGAGTTAAAAACACTACATTCCAAGTACACGCTGCTTTCTTGTAATGAGCATGTGGCCTACTACACCAAAGCGCCACCCAGAACGTTTTGCTGCTTTCTGAAATCACCCGGCACGCAGGCACCGAGAGGAGTTCGGAGCCTTGGCTTCCAGCTCTAGCTTTTTGCAGCTTTTGTGTCTGACACCTCGCAGGACCTCGGCTTGCTCTCTGTAAAATGGGGCGCGGATGGGGTTTGGATCTGGAAGATGTAACCGATGCTAGACTCCGACTGAGTCGAAAGACAAAAACCTCGGCCAGCCCACTGGAGCGCCCACCTTTCGGAAGGGGCGGGCGCAGGGAGGGGCTGCGGCCGGGAGCGCCGGCCGGGGGCGGTGCCACCCGCGGCGACTCCCCTTCCTGCCCGCGCAGGCCCAGGCACGCCGGCAAAACGCTCCGGCCGCCCTCCGCTCCCGGCTCTCTGGTTCCCGGGCCGCCCGGGGGGACGCGGTTGGCGGCGACACCGGAGGGGGGCGAGTCAGGAAGTGGGGGCGCGGCGGCCGGGAGCGGTCCTGGGGCTGCCGAGGGGCTCGGCGACGCGGAGGACCGGAGACTCCGGGCCGCTCGGGAGCCTGAAGGGGCACCCGGGCCTCCGCGGACACGATGGCGGAGGAAGAAGGTGACGGCCCCGGGGTCCAGCGCGCCAACAGTCGCTCGTGGTCGCGGGAAAGAGGGGCGGGGGCGCGAGGGGCCCAGAGGCCTGGGCTGCGGGCGGTCAGTGGCCGCGGCGGTGCGGGGTGGGGGTGGGGGCGGAAAGAAGCGGGGCGGCGGCGGCGCGGGCACGTTTAGAAGCCGAGTGAGTGGCCCGAAGTTTTGTCCGCCTCAGTGGGAAGCAAAGGTGGAGCTTAAAGTTGGGAATCGGGCTGGTAGAGAAAAAGCTGGGGGGTTGGGGGAGTGCTTGAGGGGGAAGGCCGCTAGCGGATAATTAATGGGGTGGGGAGCGTAGCTTGGTTTAGAAGATGGAGGCTTGGGTACTGAGTGCATCTTTAAAAGTGAGAGAGTATAACCAAATGCCCCTCAGTCTGAGTGTCCTCTTTAGAGGTCTGTGGACGATGACAAACACGAAGTCACAGGGTGGGAGAAGCCGCACGCCTAGGATGTAGAAAGAGGCAGGGATTGGGGAGGGGAAACAAGAAGGCCCGTTCACTTGCAGGCTAGGGGGAGGTGGCAGAGGGCTGAGGGGTGTAAGTATTTGGGGAGGATTAGGAAGCCTCGAGTGCTTAAAGTGGGTGGGCCAGAGAAAGCTTTCCATGCCCCCACAGGGCCAGTGTTGAGAAAATTAATCCCTCCGATAACATTTAAAATGAGAAGTATGAGAGCAAAATGGGGAGTTGGAGGAATTTATCAGCCAGTGAGAGATATTACAGGAAACATTTGTGGCATAATAACTTATCATAATACCCTGCTACTTTCAGGAACATATCTATTGGCTGGTGTCGCTTGACTGAGCAGTTAAGTTTTGCATTCTGGTGGGAAACATGACTTTTTACCTCCTTGAGTGCAGTTGTGAATGCGATCTCATTTGGACCTAAACCTTTATTGAACCAAGAGTGAGTGCAAGGAAGGCATTTCAAGAATTCGGTGGAAAGCGATATTTAAAAAGTTGTTTATTACTCTTTGGCTTTCTGCCTTGTCTCTCTATGCTCACACTGACTTCATTATCTGCCGCCTCTTTCTTGAGTGTTCAGAGTGTTGAAGCTGATCTAAATATAAGACAGTCTTCCTAAAATACGACTTCAAAACCAGTGCTGTTTGTAGTTGATAAGGAATAAGTAATTCCATTTGTTACCTTGGTTTTATTTTTGATTGCAGTAGTTTAAACCATTTCTTGCAAGTTTTTTCCTCCTCTGACTAATTGCAAATCTGTGGAGTAGGTTGATAAACTAGCTTGTATGATTCCATGAGCCCTTTCATGCTTAATCTAAAGTGTGAAAAAAATTAATACTGCAGTACTAACAGTCTTTAATATTTTACATCACATAAAATGAGAAATTGTTTTAGGTTATTGTAGTTACACTTAATTAAATCAGTGTGATGTGGAGCTAATTAAAAAGACCATACCATTTTGTAAAATTTACTTATGGGATAAAAAAGGGAAAATGATTTTTGGTTGTAGACTTACAGATAAGCAAATACATCTTATATGGAACAATTAATGGATTGAAGTTTTCTTAAAAATACAGTTTCAGTCAACAAGTATTTCAGTTCCATAAAGATTTGGGTGCCTATGGTGTTAGGTGCTGGGATATAATAGTCAGCAATGAATGAGTAATTATATTCTTATTTATTAAAATAATGCTAGTAATGGTAATATTTATAGCAAACATGTCTGTGTGCTAGGCATTATTTTGTGTGCCTTACATTTATTTGGCACTCTATAAATTTTTTCAAAATATGTATTATCTTAAAATTAGTCTACATAGTCTATTTTACTTGTATCCAGATATTCCCTAGATCCCTTTTTTGTTATAATTCACATTCACTTGGATCCTTTTCATTGTCCCACTGTTACTCCAAGTACAGAATTTTTTGAGAATCTCATCTTATGAAAAATGCCTTCCTTTATGCAGTTGAGCATCAGGTTGTTCATACGTAGGCTTCCTGAAAGAAATGTTAGAGCAAAGAACCAAGTGACAACTTTGAGTACAGCAGTATTTTTTAAAAAATTTTTTTAATGTTTATTTTTGAGACAGAGAGAGAGAGAGAGAGACAGAGCATGAGTGGGGGAGGAGCACAGAGAAAGGGAGACACAGAATCTGAAGCAGGCTTCAGGCTCTGAGCTGTCAGCACAGAGCCCAACACAGGGCTTGAACTCACGAACTGCGAGATCATGACCTGAGCCGGCTGTAGTCGGCGCACAACGGACTAGGGCATCTAGGCGCCCCTGAGTACAGCAGTATTAACACTTCATGTGGAAATTGCTCTGTGTAGTCTGGATGGACATTTGCTGGTCTATTTGTAGCTCTGCTCACTGTCTCATGTGAAGGTCACTGGACCAGAGACTGAAATAGTGGGTTATTTTCGTGGCTGTGTTATTTTCTTTTTCTTTTTTAAGCTTATTTATTTATTTTGAGAGAAAGAATACCACAAGCCTGTGAGGGAGGGGCAGAGATAGAAGGAGAGAGAGAACCCCAGGCAGGCTCTGCATTGCATTGTCTGCACAAAACCGGATGCAGGGCTCAAACTCCCTGAGCCCAAGTCAGCACTTAACTGACTGAGCCACTTAAGTACCCTTTATGTTATCAACTTCACTTAGTTTGACTTTAAAACTATATATATTTATTTATATTGAGAGAGAAAGAGTGCATGCAGGAGTGGGATATAGGCAGAGAGAGAGGGAGAGAGAGAGAATCCTAAGCAGGCTCTGTGCTGTCAGTGCAGAGCCCGACACAGGGCTTGATCTCATGAACCATGAAATCATGGCCTGAGCTGAGATCAAGAGTTCTGTGCTTGGGGCACCTGGGTGGCTCAGTTGGTTAAGTGCCCGACTTCAGCTCAGGTCATGATCTCATGATTTGTGGGTTCTAGCCTTGCATCAGGCTCTGTGCTGACAGTTCAGAGCCTGGAGCCTGCTTCAGATGCCGTGTCTCCCTCTCTGTCCCTCCCCTGCTTGCGCTCTGTCTCTATCTCTCAAAAATGAATAAACGTTAAAAAAAAATTTTTTTTTAAAAGAGTTCTATGCTTAACCGACTGAACCACCCAGGCACCCCTGTAGGGTGCTTTTAACTTTTCCTTTATCACAGAGCAGGGGAAACAATTTTTTTTTTAAGTTTACTTAATTTATTTTGAGAGAGCATGAGCAGGGACCGGGCAGAGAGAGGGAAAGAGAATCTCAAGCAGGCTCCCTGCTGTCAGCATGGAGCCCAACCGAGGAGGGCTCAAACTCATGACATCATGATAGGAGCCTAAACCAACAGGGGCACGTGGCTGGCTCAGTTGGAAAAGCATGCAACTCTCTTTCTCAAGGGCATGAGTTCAAGCCTCATGTTAGGTATAGACATTACTAAAAAAGAATTAATTAAAAAATATGTATTTGTTTTTTCATTTTCCACAATAAAGCTAGAGAGGATTTTTAAAAAAATATTTATTTATTTAAGTAATCTCTACACCCTACATGGGGTTCAAGCTCATGACCCTGAGATCAGGAGTTGTATACTCCTCTGACTGAGGCAGCCAGGTGCCCCTGCACAGTAAAGATAGAACCCTTCATCTGATTAGCAGCAGCTGATTCATTCTCCTTTTGTGACTCATCTTTTTAGGCTCACATTTCATAGCCTAAAGTCATTCCTAAGAGAAAAAACTCTCCTCTGCTCCATTAAGGAGGAAATAAATTCTTTAACCATGTTATAAGGTTGGGAGGACAGTCTGTACCTATATGACAGTCATGGTTGACCATATAAGATAATTAATTCTAGAAAGGAAAAGTAGTTAGGTTGAATATGGTAAATTCTTGTTTCATTTGAAATTTAGTTTACTAGTTTGGAGGTACTTTCTACTTTACATTTTTTATCAGACATAGAAAGGGTAGTCTAATGTTGGGAAATTTTCTGACAACTTCGGACATGTCGGAATATTTATAGGTTCAGCCTATTTCTGATACCTAAATCTATAAAACAATCCATTACAATGACAATTCCACGGCACTGTGAAATTCTGCAGAACTTGGAAGATTATTTTTATTCATTTTATTTACTTTAATTTTTTATTTTTAAAAATTTTTTTGTTTTACTTATTTTTGAGACAGAGGGAGACAGGGCACAAGTGGGAAAGGGGCAGAGAGAGAAGGAGACAGAATCCGAAGCAGGCTCCAGGCTCTGAGCTGTCAGCGCAGAACCCAACGCAGGGCTCGAACCCATGAACCGTGAGATCATGACCTGAGCCAAAATCGGACACTTAGCCATCTGAGCCACCCAGGCGCCCCTATTTTTATTTTTTAAAGTTTTTTAATGTGTATTTATTTTTGAGAGAGAGAGAGAGAGACAGAGCATGAGCAGGTAGGGGCAGAGAGAGAGGGAGACACAGAATCTGAAGCTGTCAGTGCAGAGCCTGACATGGAGCCCGAAATCACAAGACTGTGAGATCATGACCTGAGCCAAAGTCGGACGCTTAACTGACCGAGCCACCCAGGCGCCCCAGGACTATTTTTAAAATGAAGTATAGTTTTATGATCAATGTATTTTATTGTATTCAAATTTAAAAATTGTTAGTCCTTGAATGATGAATGCGATACTCTCAGGCAACTAGAGTATTACGCTAATGTATTCATTAACACCCTGTTCCCCAGTCATTCTTGAAAGGAGATTACTTATTCTGGGAAATTTTGAAAAATAACATTATCTGAGGAGAAGAGCTTGTTGATTTATCACTAGGATTCTGAAAGCACAGATAAGAGACAGAACCTAAATTTTTTTTTGTATGAAAGACTGTTTTTCAAGAAGTGCTAAAATAATTGTGGAAAAAAGTTATCTTTGATACTAAAAGATCTTTGTGTGACATTTGCCCTCCTGCTCTTTCCCTCTGCCATAAGAAAACCAAACCATATTATAATAAAAGCAAATTAGTTTGGGTTACAGATTAGAACAACTTGATACACATGTTGCAATAACTCCTTAAATATTTTAAGGACCAACTGTAGAACTGCGCCAAAGAAGAAAGCTGAAGTCTTCAGAAAATAAGGAATCTGCCAAAGAAGAAAAAATTAGTGATACTCCAATTCCTGAAAGAGCTCCAAAACGTAAGTTAGATAAATTTGTGTTCGTGCTACTACAGAGATGGTTTTTTGTACGCTAGGTAGTGTATTTTATATTAATATTTTACATTTGTATGCCTAGAGATTCATTGTATGGTATTATTGGTCACCTTTCATAGGTTTTGTTGTAGAACAAACGCTAAATCTCGCTGACTTACAAAAAGCACTTATTTCTGACTAATGTTGCATGTTGTGGCTGCAGGTTGGCTGGTTTAACTTCATGTATCATGAAGGAGCAGCCCCTATCTGGGATATGGTTTTCTTCCGACAGAGGAAAAGAGCGGGAGGACAGGCAGAATCATGCAGAGTCTCCTGCAGTTTCTGCTGAACTGGCACACTGTCCCTTGTACACACTTCCTGTTGACCCAAGCGAGTCACATGATTAATCCAGACAATGCGATGGAGAAGTATACTGTCACTAGAGGGAAGCATTACAAGCCACATGGTAGTGGGCAGAGATGAATAATCTTTTTATAAGAAATGACGAAATAAATGGGAATAATAAGAACAGTCTACCACATTCTGTCCTTTTAGTCATAAGTACTTACTTTTCTACCTCCGACAAAATGCACTCACTACCTCACTGACCCCAGGAAGACACTCAGTCTTACCCAGTCATGGCATTGTGTTCAGACCCAAGGTCTTCTTATCTCCATCTGGCCAGCTATGGTTCATTTTAGTCCAGAGACCCATGAGTTAAAAAGATAAGTTATGTACTCTGGGGCAGGGGTCCCCAAGACCACCCCCATGTTTGGTTACTAGCTAGCAAGACTCACAGGTCTCAGAATATTTACAGCTATGATTTATTACAGTGATCGTACAAAACAAAGTCAGTGAAGGGAAGAGGTCTGTGGGCTAAAATCTGTAAGAAACTAGATGTAAACTTCCCTGATTTCTTTGCTAATGGAGTTCTACAGGACGTGCTTAACTCCTTCCACATCAAATTGTGACATTTGTAAAGATTTGTCTACCAGGTAAGCTCATTAATGGCTCTATACAGAATTATTATTTTTTTTATTTTGAGATAGAGTGCAAGTAGGGGAGGCGCATAGAGAGAGGGAGAGAGAGAATCCCAAGCAGGCTCTGCACTGTCAGCATGGAGCCTGACACAGGGCTCCAACTCACGGACTGTGAGATTGTGACCTGGGCTGCAGTCAGATGCTTAGCTAACAGCCACCCAGGCACCCCTACATAGAGTTTTTATGGGTAGCTAGTCATGTACCCTTTACCTACCACATATCCAAACTAGATTCCCAGAAGGAAACCAGTGAGCATGGACCACATTGTTTGTACAAACAGGTCAGGCAGAATAAACTAACATGAGAGAATGGTGATAACCCTCCTGAAATCCAAGTTCCCAGATTCCAGGAAAGAGCCTACCTTGGAAACAGACCTTTCTTGGGAAAGTAATTGCAGGCTGTGTTAACTTTTCTACATATGCCCCCACTCCTAGTGTATATTTTTAGAAAGGGACAGGGTAAGCAAAATAAGTGAGAGATACCCATCAGTCACTGGTTCATAGCAGTTTTGAAATTCTATCAGATAAAAATGGTCCTAAATCAGGGATATGGCTGTCAGCACATGTTTGTTAAATACATAAATGGATTAAGGTATGTCCTAGTAAATCCTTTCAGTTGGTCTTCTTACTCTGGAGTAAGGATGTTTGTTGATTTGGCCCCAATTGTTTTCCGTGTGAGTAGCTTCCCAGTTCATTGTTCTGTGGTCCTTGGCTCTACCCTCTGGAGGTCCTTCCTTTTCTATTATCCTACTGAACCTTATATGAAGATGGCTTTGGAGAAATGCCATCCTTAGAGACTTAAAAGCCTTCTCAAGTTGTTTCTTGCCCAAAAAGAGTCTAAGGCACATTTATATATTTTTTTTCTCAAATAAGGTAAAGGCAGTGGATCATCTATAGAGCTAGTTTAGGGGCTAGCAGAAAGAAAATTTTTTGGAAGCTGGAAAAATAATAATCCATGTTATGCAGTGACAAAACACTTGTATCTGTCTTCTGTGAATAGTTAGAAATTTAACACTACATTTTTTTATTATTTTAGGTAACAAGATTATAAAACAGAATGTTACTAGAGTGCCTTGGTTATCAGCTGCATTTGATGCAAGAAAGATGAATTTAAAACAGAGTTGGCCTATTTGAAAGCAGGAATGAAGAGGGAAATAGAGAATCCGAAATTTCTGGGACTTGTAGTGTTGAGTTAGAACTATCTATTTCAGCTAGTAAAATTAAGAAAATTGAGAAATACTTTGAGCAACAAAGGCTGATTAAGATGAATCCTCAGAGCAGTGACTAAATCAGAGGCATAGCTGTCAGCATACAGTTTGTTAAAATATATCAATGGATTTAGATATTTCCTAGTAAATCCTTTCAGTTGAACAAAGTAAAAATGTGGTTCCTCAGACGCTCAAAATACATGTAATTAAACCTTTCCAAGACTCAAATGGAAATAAAATTGTGGGTACAGTAGCCCCCCACCCCCGGCCAGTAGTTTCAGTTATCTACGCTCAGTTACAGTTTGGAAGCAGATGATTTGCTTTCTCACGTATTGTCAATGTTAATAGTAGTGTAACACTGTGTCACACTCACAGGGCCTTGTCATTTTTCTCACTTCATCTCATCACATGGACATTTTATCATCTCATACCATCACAAGAAGTAGGGTGAGTACAGTACAATAAGATATTTTGAGAGAGAGACCATGTTCACGTAACTTTTATTACAGCTTATTGTCATAGTTGTATTTTATTATTAGCTGTTATTGTTAATCTCTTACTGTATCTAACTTATAAACTGAACTTTAAACTAGGTATTTATGTATAGGATAAAACATATCTAGGGTTCAGTACTAGGATTCAGTTTTATGCATCTGCTAAGAACGGGGGAGGGGGACTACTGTATAGTTGTTGGAACATGGAGCTGGATAGAATCAAGTAGGTAAAAAGCTGACAAAATTGTTTTTTTCTTTGCAAAAATAAGTGATTTCATTTTTAAAAATTAAAGTACAGACATAACTTCTTTTATTTGCTACACTTTATTGTGCCTTGCAGATAACTTTTTTTTTCTGGTTTTTTAAATGAATTGAAGGTTAGTTGACAACCCTGAGTCAAGCAAGACTGTTGATGCCATTTTTCTAACACTATTTGCCAACTTTATGTCTCTGTGTCACATTTTGGTAATTCTTGCAGTATTTTAAACTTTATCATTGTATTTGTTGTGCTGATCTGTGATTAATGATTGTGACTCATTGTCAGCTCAGGTGATAGCGTATTTTAGCATTAATTAAGATAGTTATGTTTTTTTACAGATGTGCTGTTATTGCACACTTAATAGGCTACAGTATAGTGTAAGCATAACTTTTATATATACCAGGAAACCAAAAAAATTAATTTGATTCACTTTATGACAGTATTCACTTTATTGCAGTGGTCTGGAACTGAACCTGCAGTATCTCTGAGGTAGACCTGTATCATTAACATGCAACAACATGCCAGAATCTTAGGTGTTTTATTAAGTGAGTTTTGACATCTTAGTCCAATTAACAAGATAGAGAACATTTCCATTATCCCAGAAAGCTTCTTTGTATCCGTTCCGGTAATTTTCCCCTGTATCCCTCAAGACAGCCACTCTTCTGATGCTTATCAATATTGACTAATTAGTTTTGCATGTTGTAGGACTTCATATAAGTGGAATCATGCAGCATGTATGCTTTTGTGTCTGGATTCTTTCACTTGGCTTGGCATGTTATCCTTTAAAAACAATCATTTTGAGATTCATTCATGTTGCTGCAATTTTTGAACTATTTTGTTCTTGTTGGACATTTGAGTAATTTTCACTATTTACCTATTATGAATAAGGCTTCTATGAACATAGTTTTACAGATATTTTTGTGGACATTTGTTTCTGTTAGGTAAATATCTAGGAGAATTGCCTGCTAAGCTTTTGAGAGATGTACTGTTTTCGTTTTTTTTTTTTAATGTTTATTTATTTTTTGAGAGAGAGGGAGACAGAGTATGAGTGGGGGAGGGGCAGAGAGAGAGAGGGAGACAAAGAATCCGAAACAGGCTCCACACTCTGAGCTGTAAGCACAGAGCCCGACTTGGGGCTTGAACTCACAGACTGTGAGACCATGACCTGAGCCAAAGTCAGACACTTAACCAACTGAGCCATCCAGGCGCCCCGAGAGAGATGTACTGTTAAAAGAACTATCAGCCTAAATTTAAAAGGATACAAGTATTCAGATCTTAAAATGATATATACATATGGGAAGCAGGCTGAAAAAGCTGCTCTTGGGGTGTTTTTCTTGAGAAGCAGTGAGAGTGTTTTGCCTTTCAGAGAGAAGTGAGTGTTTGTGATAAATGGGGCAGACCCTAGTGGACTCTTTTATTGTTCCCAAATATTTGCTTCCTCCCCTAAATTAGTGAATTATCCATTCCTTCCCATTGCCATGTGATTTGGAGCACGTCTTCGAAACACTGTTTATTTCGCTACCTCATTGTCAGGCTTATCGATGTGACTCACCTGGACCAGGGAATGTGAGTGGAAGCAACACTATACTAGTTTTGACCAGAAGCTGTAAGAGGCATTATTTGCAATGCTTGTTCTGCTCTTTTCCTCCGTCATGAGAATAGCATGTCTCACATAGGGATTGACCCCAGTCTGGAACTCTGAAGAAGATCCAAGAAGAGCCACAGCTAATCTGAAGTGTGGAATTGGGTGGGGAGTCACTGCACACCCAACACCCACAAGTAGCATAAGTGAGAAATAAACCTTTATTATGTAAGCCACTAATCATTTGGAATAACTTTTTTTTTTTTTAAAATCACAGCAAAGCTTACTAATAGAGTGGTCATTTAAAACATTTTGGAAGATGTAATATGAGAAAGATGACTAAATAATCTAGAGATAACTACTATAAAATAGTATTTTCCCTGACTACAAAAATATATTTTTAGGGTAGAGAATGTGGAAAATAGAGAAAAGTGTAATAAAAATAAAATGTATGAATAATGCTAACAGAACTACTCTTAAAAGTTTTGGCTACTGTTGCTTATATTTTTATATTTTTTTCAATACAGTTATACTTTTCCTTTTTTTTTATCTTTTTATGTAATTGAATCCTATATATTTTTTTCTAACATGTCATTAGTTTTTTCCTTTGCTTTAAATACTACTTAACTATGACCTGTGTTACTGATATTGACATTTATGTGTGCTCTTTTTTTTTTAATTCCATCTTTGACTCTTCACAAAAAACTTTGAAAACAACATATTTAGTATTTTTTTAATAGTTTATTTATTTTTGAGACAGAGAGAGACAGAGCATGAGTGGGGGAGGGGCAGAGAGAGAGGGAGACACAGAATCTGAAACAGGCTCCGGGCTCTGAGCTGTCAGCACAGAGCCTGATGTGGGGCTCGAACCCACGACCAGTGAGATCTGACCTGAGCCGAAGTAGGACGCTTAACCGACTGAGCTACCAGCCACCCCAAAACATATTTAGTATTAAGGTAAGACATTTATATGTAGGATTTGGTTTACATACTTTTTAAAATAGCCCCTAATAGTTGGGATTAATTTGCCATTATCTATGACTTAATGAAAAAAATAGGATGAGATACATGTTCAGAAACTTAGGAGCACTTTTTTTTTTTTTTTTTAATGGTTTATTTATTTCTAGGAGAGAGAGAGACAGCGTGAGCAGGGGAGGGTCCGAGAGAGAGGGAGTCACAGACTGAAACAGGCTCCAGGCTCTGAGCTAGCAGTCAGCACAGAGCCCGATGTGGGGCTCGAACCCACGAACCGTGGGATCATGACCAAAGCAAAAGTAGGACGCTTAACCGACTAAGCCACCCAGGCGCCCCAGGAGCACTTTTGTTAAACTGCCACCATTGATAAGTTTCCTTACCAGTTTTTTATAGTTCATATTGTGTCAACATTGCTTTAAATGACTATCTTATATATTTTTGCACATATATTTCAATAATAATAGCTAGTGTTTATTGAGCTCTTACTATGTGCCAGGCCAAATGTTTTATATATGCTGTTAAAACAGTAATTTTATTTATTTATCTTGAAATGTTTGTTTATTTATTTTGAGAGCCAGAGAATGAGCAGGGGTGGGGCAGAGAGAGAGAGAGAGAGAGAGAGGGAGGGAGAATCCCAAGCAGCCTCCACGTTGTCAGCACAGTCTGATACAGGGCTTGAACTCATGAACTGTGAGATCATGAGCTGAGCCGAAATCTAGACTTGGGTGCTTAACTGACTGAGCCAAGCAGGTGCCTCTGAAAGCAACAATTTTAAAATGATTGTGTTATACTGATAACTAATATTTGGTCCATTGGATAGTGTTTTTTAAGGATTTTAAATGTAATTCTCAATGACTTACTGATATCTTTTTTTAAAGTAATCTCTATACCCAACATGGGTCTTGAACTGATGCCAGGATCAGGAGTCCCATGTTCTACTGATTGAGCCAGACACATGCCCCAATTTAGTGATAGCTACTTAGCCTGTTTAAGGTCTCTAGTATTATATGAAAACTAATATTTATTAAATAATATTTTGAAAATGGCTAATATTTTAGTTTAGCTAAACCAACAAATCAGCCAATTGAGTTTTACAAACCTGTTAGTCAGTCGGTAACAGAACACTGGGCTTTGGGCCCTTAGCCTTATACCTAATAGCTATAGCAGGACCAAATCATCTGTGTGTAGAAAATCCAAATGTGTTTTATGTTATTTCCTCAAGAAGTAGTCACATATGTAACAGTTACATATGATGTTTTAAATACATAATCATCAAAGAGTATTGAATTATATACATTAAACAGCTATATAGTATGGAAATTATTCCTCACTAAAGAAAAGAATTCCTTGATAAGGAAAAGCTATCAATAATAATTCTGAATGAACCCATATCTTTTCTTTAGATATTTGGTAGTACATTACTTTTATTCTTTCTTTTACTAATAGATTTTAATTTTTGAAACCTGTTTTGATTTATAGAAGAATGGGACAGATAGTGCAGAGTTCCCTTGTTAGACCCTCCCTCTGCCCACACATGCAGCTTTCCCTCTTATTAACGTTTTATATTAGTATGGTATATTTGTTATAATTAAAAAACCAATGTTGATAACACTTATTTTTATTTTTAAGTTTATTTATTTATTTTGAGAGAGAGAAAGCAAGCTAGGGAGGGACAGAGAAAGGGGGGGAGAGAGAGAGAGAGAGAGAGAGAGAGAGAGAGAGAGAATGAGAGAGAGAGAGAATCCCAAACAGGCTCCACACTGTCAGCACAGAGCTCGATGCAGGTCTCAAACTCATGAACTATGAGATCATGATGTGAGCCAAAGTTGGAGACTTAACCAACTGAGCCACCCAGGTGCTCTGATACATTGCTTTTAACTAAACTCCACATTTTATTTAGATTTGCTTAGTTATTACTTAATGTCCTTTTTCTGTTCCAGGATCCTACGTTACGTTTAGTTGACATTATATTTAGACTCCTCTTGGCTGTAGCAGTTTTTTAGGCTTTCCTTGTTTTTAGTGACCTCAACAATTTTGGGGAGTACTGGTCAGGTATATTTAGGATGCCCCTCTCTTGGAATTTGTTATTTTTCTCATTAGATTAGGGTTCTAGGTTTTGGGGAGGAAGAAAAAAGAATTAGAATGCCATTTTTCTCACATATCAAGGGTACATACTACCTTTTGATTACTTTTTAAAAATAGAAGTGCATAAATATAAATATCATCTACATCTGATTACTTTTAATATGCTTTTTCAGATGTATTATTTCAGCGCTTTGCAAAGATTTTCATTGGCTGTCTTGCAGCAGTTACTAGTGGTATGATGTATGCTCTCTATTTATCAGCATACCATGAACGGAAATTCTGGTTTTCCAACAGGCAGGTAAGAAGAAAGAATTTTGAGCATATGGAAGTTGTTTTAGTATTTAATTTTAATTTAAGTAATGTGTTTTACAGGGATCCAAAAAATATGTGTGATAAGTATGAAAAGTGCTTTCTTACTTAACAGCCCTTAGAAACAAAATGGTGTAGAAGCTGTTCTAACACAGTCACAGGGTCAGCCTTGAAAAATGTAATACAATGTATTTCAAGGCCATAGAATAGAAACTGAGGGTGCTTTCCTTCATGCATCTGCTTTACCAGGAGCTTTTGAAGACAGTGAAATGTTACAGAGTTTAGTCAGTCTTTTAGTGTTTTTGGTAGCTTATGGAGTTTACATTTTAGAAACAGTCTACAGAAATTTCAGCAGTAAAATATTTTAATTTTAAGATGACATGATTAGAATGTTTTGGGGGGATTGGAAATGATTAACATGCATGGCAGTGTTTATTAAGATGTCTTTTACATAATAATATGCTTAATGTTTGGTTTTAAATCATGTGCATTCCACAGGCTGTTTAGTAGCTGTAGTTACTTAATTCATAATTTAGCCTTTGAATAGGTTTGTTCTCAGACTTACCTTCACATTCAGATACATCTTTCATATGCATTGACAAAGTTCACAGTGTTATCAGTTGACTCTGAAGAGTTTTCTTCTTTGGTCCAAGCTGTTTTGTAGTAGTAGTAGTAGTCGTCATCGTAGTCAAGCTGACTAAATGTTTTTAAGCTATTGATTGACTAATCCCACCAAAACAGTTAGCTGAATAGTTATCTGTATTGACTTGACAAAAGCTATTACTGTAGGATATTCTATTTCCTTGAAAATGTTATGCAGATTAACTATTAGTAGTTCTCAATACTGGATGTACAATAAACTCATCTGATGAGCTTTCAAAAAATAACCTCCCTCACAGATTCTTGGGGTACTGGGGAGTGTCTGGGTCAGTATTTCAAAATATTTCCAAGTAGTTCTGTTGTATAGGCAGAATTGAGAACAACCAAAGATTTGAAAATATAGAAGGCATACGTCAAGAACCTTGTTTTTTAAAACATTGTGTATGAGCCAGGTACATTGACATTACCTGGGAGCTTTTTCAGAATTGCAGATTCTCAGGCCCTACTTTACAATCAGACTCTGATCAGAGATCTTTTAATAAGATCTTTAGGAGTTTCATATGCACATTAAACCTGAGAAGCATTGATCAAAAGTTTACATCTTTGAAATCTTAGAAACAAATCTGTTTCCTTTCATAAAGAATCATTTTAAGGAAATATATTTAATAAGCTCTAAATGAGGAGAAAAAATTCACTGGTCAGATAGATGTGGGAAAGGTTTTCTCTTTTGAGATTCACAGTACATAATGTATATGGAAACTCCTTTTTTTTTTTTTTTTTTTACAAATAGTTTATTGTCAAATTAGTTTCCACATGTATATGGAAACTCTTAAAAGTCTTGGAATAAAGATCCTATTAATTTTCTTTAATGCTGCCTTTTCACAACTCATTTCAATAGAATTTTTTTTTTTTTTTTTTTAACTATAGAACTCTTTATGTAACACCCATTTATATCTTGGGAAGTTCTGTTGATCAAACTTTGGAGAAGCTGCTCTGATATTTTTTGTATTAATTGGTAAATATTTATGAAAATAAAGACGTTTCATTTTCAAAGACTATACATTTATGAGAGCTTGATTTGTCTTGAAATGCACGGTTTTTCAGTGTTTTTGTAGTACCTATATTTTTGGCTCTGTATAGCCCAATTTTAGGAAATGTAAGATTTACTTAACGTTTCTGAAAGTTAATTTGAAAAGCACTGATTAGGTGTCTGCTGCTCTTGAAAAGTACTAGTTAAGAGCTTGCTGTTCTGGATACATAAGGATGTGGAATAGCAATAGAAAATACTGATTTCTTCTTAAACTTTTTATTATGGACTTTAATACCTCAACCATCATTTTTTATTGCCTGCCTTACTATTTTTGCTGTCCTTAGAATATCTTTTCTGTTTTTCCTTATATGTAATAGGTAAATGACACATGACCTACAATCCATTTTAAAACCTAGGTGTTTCATTTAACTGATTGCCAGATTATTTATTATTCACTTAAACATTAACCTCTTTAATGTGACCACTCATGATTAAAGGAAAATTCAAACATGTCTTTGAATAAAAGGATAAATAGCATTAATTTAGAAGATGAGGAGAGAGAAAGAAGATTGCAGTTGAAAGTTAGGATACTGGTATTTAAATAAACAATTCATTTTCTTTTAGGAACTCGAACGAGAAATCACATTTCAAGGTGACAGTGCCATTTATTATTCTTATTATAAAGATATGTTAAAAGCGCCTTCATTTGAAAGAGGTATGATAACTACATTTGTATCTTTTTAAATTAAACTCTGTCTCCAACGTGGGGCTCAAACTCAGGAACCCGAGATCCAGTGTCATATGTTCTACCAACTGAGCCAGCCATGTACCCCTCACGTTGGTATTTTTAATAACATTTTTCGGGGCGCCTGGGTGGCTCAGTCGGTTAAGCGTCCGACTTCGGCTCAGGTCATGATCTCCTGGTTCGCGGGTTCGAGCCGACGTCGGGCTCTGTGCTGACAGCTCAGAGCCTGGAGCCTGCTTCAGATTCTGTGTCTCCCTCTCTCTCTGACCCTCCCCTGTTCATGCTGTCTCTCTCTCTCTCTCTCTCAGAAATAAATAAAAAACATAAAAAAGATTAAAAAAACCTTTTTTCTAGGGGTGCCTGGGTGGCTCAGTTGGTGCCCAGCTTAGACTCAGGTCATGATCTCATGGTCCATGAATTGGAGCCCTGTGTCAGGCTCTGTGCTTACAGCTCAGAGCCTGGAGCCTGCTTCAAATTCCGTCTCTCTCTGCCCCTCCCCTGCTCATGCTCTGTCTGTCTGTCTCTCTCTCAAAAATAAATAAACATTTTTTAAAAATTTGAAATAACATTTTTCTAAAATAAAAATAGTTCTACTGTGTGTGAGTACTTGAATGTGGAGATTTGTCTCAGAATAGAAGTATAACTTTTTTGTACTTAATAAAGACATTCTAAAAATGAGGCACAGTATATTTTGAGATTTTTCTTAATAATAAGTTAAAATATTTAATGACCTCTGACTTACATGTTTAATTATTTTTAAGCATAATAAATAATCTGGAGAAAAATTTTTCTGTCTCTAGGTGTTTATGAATTGACACACAATAACAAAACTGTATCTCTGAAGACTATAAATGCAGTGCAGCAAATGTCTCTATATCCAGAACTTATCGCCAGTGTTTTATACCAAGCAACTGGTAGCAATGTATGTTTTCTTTTGACTTTAATATTTATTTCCTTACATATTTATGAATCCTTAAAATTATTTAATGTCCTTCTGTCATCTCTTCTCTCTTTTTTTTTTTTTTCCAATTAGGAGATTATTGAGCCAGTATATTTCTATATTGGTATTGTTTTTGGATTGCAAGGAATATACGTTACTGCTTTATTTGTTACAAGTTGGCTTCTGAGTGGAACATGGCTGGCAGGGATGCTTACTGTTGCATGGTTCATTATTAACAGGTAAAAAAATGTTTTCTTTAATTAAGTTTTACAGTTTTTTATGGCTGTGGTATTTGGTTCTAAAAATGCCACCCCCCAAATATTCTACACCCTAATCCCCATGTATGAATATGATGAGATATCAGTCTTGTGGTTATGTTATGTTAAATGGCACAGTTGACCTTAAGATAGGAAGATTACATGGTAGACCTGATCTAATCATATGAGCCCTTCAAAGTGGAGATCTTTACCTTGGGAGAAATGAGAGGTCAGAGATATTTGAAGCATGAAGTAGATTGCTGTGCTGTTGCTGGACTGAAGTATGGAGAAAATGAATTTTGCCAGCGACCAGTGAGTCTGTGAAAGGACCTTAAGCCCTGTGTGAGTATGCCAGCCTGGCAGGTGCTTTGATTTTAGCTTAGGGAGACCCTAAGCTGAGTACTGGGATAGGCTTGTGAGCTAATCTGTGTTGTTTTAAGCCTATACATTTGTGGTCATTTGTTATGCAGCAATTGAAGAATAATAAACCTACCTTGTATCTCTATTTTCAGACATAGTAACATTTGCATATATGGATGTGCTTTTTCTTTCTATTTATTTATTTATTTAAAATTTTTAATTTATTGGGGCGCCTGAGTGGCTTAGTCGGTTGAGCGTCCGACTTTCGCTTGGGTCATGATCTCGCGGTTCGTGGGTTCGAGCCCCGCGTCGGGCTCTGTGCTGACTGCCAGCTCAGAGCCTGGAGCCTGTTTCAGTCTGTGACTCCCTCTCTCTCTGACCCTCTCCTGCTCACGCTCTCTCTCTCTCTGTCTCCTGGAAATAAAAAAAAAAACAAAAAAAAAAAATAAAATAAAATTTTTAATTTATTTTGAGAGAGGGCACAAGTATGGGAGGGGCAGAGAGAGGGAGAGAGAGAATTCCAAGCAGGCTCCACACTGGCAGTGCGGAGCCCAGTGTGGAGCTTGAAGTCATGAACCTTGAGTTCATGATCTTAGCTGAAATTAGACACTTAACTGACTGAGCCACCCATGCCTCTTCTTTCCTCTTTAATTTAAAATTGATGACACGATTTCATGAAAAGAAGGAAAAGACATCAGATATATCACTATTTTTTTTTTAACATTTATTTATTTTGAGAGAGAGAGTGAGTGTACACAGGCACATGAACAGGGTAGGGCAGAGAGAGAGGGAGAGAGAGAATCGCAAGCAGGCTCCACACTGTCCTCATGGACCGCAACATGGAGCTTGATCTCACAAACCTCAAGATCATGACCCAAGCCAAAATCAAGAGTCAGATGCTTAACCGACTAACTACCCAGGTTCCTGAGATATATCACTATTAAGTTAACCACCACAGATAAGGATTCCATATTAATCTATCACAGACTGCTTTGAATTAGTAAATCCGTCCCTTTTGGTGATCCACACAGCCTCAGTTCTTTAATAAAATAAAAAGAGAATAAATAATGGGGTTTCTTTAAAATGGAGAGCTGATTTGAGACATAAAAATTTTCTTGGCATTGGTCAGTGTCAAAAATTTAATTCTGAATGATGGGTATTCTTTCACTCCATAGCACTTTTCTCTCCTAACATTCATCATGACTAAATTTTTATTTTTTTATTAAAAAATTTTTTTAAAAACATTTATTTTTGGGAGAGAGCACAAGCAGGGAAGGGGCAGAGAGAGGGAGACACAGAATCTGCAGCATAATCTGGGCTCTGAGCTGTCGGCACAGAGCCTGACATGGGGCTTGAACTCATGAACTGTGAGATTGGTGCCTTTATCATGACTAAGTTTTTAAAAATGAAACATTTCTCCTGTTACAACATTTTCTTTTGGCAATTGCCAAGTAAAAAAATATGATATTTTCAAGTTATTAAGACTCAGCATTAAGGGCTATATCTCTTACTGAGTTTTGTTTATATTTAGAGTCACTTGCTGCTGATAGTTTGATATAAAGCATATTTTAAAAATTTTCCTTAGAAGTTTTTAAGTATAGCTTTTCAGCTTTATGGCTTAAACCTATTTCCTCTTCTTTTTTTAATTTTAATTTTTAATTTTTTTAAAGTTAGCTGTGCGCCCAACATGGGGCTTCAACTCACAACCCTAGGATTAAGTCATATGCCATATTGACAGAGCCAGCCAAAACCCCTAAACATATTTCTTCTTAAAAACAGGGATGAACCAAACTTCATTATTACAAAAGAAGTATATATATGTGTAGAGAATTAAAACCAGCAAAACCAAAATAATAACTTCACATTCCCACCACCTAGAGATCAATCACCGTTATTTATACCTTGGTATCTATACTTTTCGATCTTTTTCTATGTGAGTATGTATGTGTATGTAGTGTATGTATGTATTTGTATGTGTATTTTTTGGTCAGAATGAGGTATATTACACATACTGTTTTATATGCTGCTTTCTTTTTTCAGCAGTCTACCTTTCCATTTCAATAACTTTTTTTTAAGTAAACTCTACGCCCAACGTGGGGCTTGAACTCACAACCCAGAGATCCAGAGTTGTGTCCTCTACTGACTGAGCTCCTCCATTTCAAGAACTTTTTTTTTTCAAGTAAGCTCCACACTCGATGTGGGGCTTGAACTTATGACCTTGAGATCAAGAGTCACATGCTGTACTGACTAAGCCAGCCAGGCATGCACCCCTCAATAACTTTTTATCTTAACCTATTAACCGTGTTGACCTTAGAATACCCCAAATAAGTGGTTTATCCAAACCAGCATTTAATCCAAGACCACATACTGCATCTGGTTATGTTCTTTAATTGTCTTTTTTTTTAAGGTTAAAAAAATGTTGATTTACTTTTGAGAAAAGAGGAGGGTGGGGATATGAGAGAGAGAGAGGGAGATAGAGGATCCATAGTGGGCTCTGTGCTGAGAGCGGAGAGCCTGATGTGGGCTCAAACTCACAAACCTGTGAGATCATGATCTGAGCCAAGGCCAGATGCTTAACTGGATGCTTAACGTATGCTTAACCACTGAGCCAGACAGGTGCCCCTCCTTATTTCTCTTTAAATCTAACATAATCCCTTTTTTCTCTTGAAGGGAGTAAGTCAGTTGTCCTACAGAATGTCCCACCTTATGAATTTCTCTTCTTGCTTCCTGTGGTGTCATCTAGCTTTTCCCTCTATTTGTGTTTCTAGAAGTTCTATCCAAAAGCTTCATGAGTTCAAGATAGATGATCCTAGTTAGAATATATCATAGGTGATATGTTTTTTATGTTTCGTGATATTAAAAGTTACAAGGTATTTATTTGGCCTACCCCAAGTGAGTCTGAGATTGACTGCTGTTTTGGAGGATGACAGACTTCTTCATTGAATAGTGTGACTAGCAAATAATCTGTGTGGTGTTTTGGAGCAAAAATGAATGTCCTTTTCAATGTTAACTATTTACCTAAGGGTTGTAACTCCAGTTGATAATCTGCCAAATCGGTAATTACATGATGGTTTATTAAATTTTATTTTTCCATTTTGATTAGCTAGATTCTTCATTCTTCAAAAGGTAAAATTTTTCTTTATTAACCAAGTTCTTTGGTTACCCTTAAATTCAGTTACTATTAGAAAGTCAGGGAGCGCCTGGGTGGTTCAGTCACTTAAGCATCAGACTCATGATTTCAGCTTAGATCATGATCTCATAGTCATAGGATCAAGCCCTGGTTGGGCTCCATGCTGAGCAGCTCCACGCTAAGTGGATGGAGCCTGCTTAAGATTCTCTCTCTTTCTCTCGCCCTTTCTCTCCCCGACTTCCTCTCCCTCTGCCCCTCCACTCATATGCGCACGTTCACGTGCTCTTTCTTTCTCAAATTAAAAAGTCAAGTCAGATCAATACTTAAATTCACTTTACCTATTTGTAAGAAATTGTGTAGTAGCTGTCTCAGATGGTCATAAAACAACTTTTATGGTGTTCTCTTTTTTAAGCATGTTTCTTTCTCTACTTCGGAATTTTCGTTGATTCAGTAGGGCTAAATCCATTACCATCATTGTTTTTTTGCTCAAGTTGTCGTAACTTTGGTTAATATAAGTCTTTTCGGGCTGACTGCTAAATTCGTTTAACAAGTCTTCATTAATCTCTGAAAGCTTTCTTGTTTCTTGGCTCAACAAGGTGAGCAGGCTCACCTTATACCTTCCCTGTGAAAGATTGGGAACTGGCCACTTCCTCTGTGGGGCCATTTCCTTTTAGTAGAGAACAGTGTTAGAGAATCCTGTGTGGATGCTAGAGAGAGAAGGTGATTTTTTGTCAGAAAGTGTTATGTCAGAAACAAAATATTTTAAGTTGCCATGTACTTTTCTAAAATTCTATTAGAGTTCATTATTAGAAATTTAATAGTGCACTCAAAATATTTTAGAACTAATAGACTAGGTCTAGAAAGTCTTGCTTTTTACAATGAAATGTATTTAGTACAAAACTAGCATTATTTAAAATAATAAAAGGATTGTTTTCTTTTTTTTTTTAAATGTTTTATTTATTTCTAGGAGAGAGAGAGAGAGACAGCGTGAGCAGGGGAGGGCCAGAGAGAGAGGGAGACACAGACTGAAACAGGCTCCAGGCTCTGAGCTGGCAGTCAGCACAGAGCCCGACGCGGGGCTCGAACCCACGAACCGAGAGATCATGACCCAAGCGAAAGTCGGACGCTTAACAGACTAAGCCACCCAGGCGCCCCAAAAAGATTGTTTTCTTGATTAAGTGATGTATTACTTATTGCTGCATACCAAATCACCCTAAAACTTAACAGTCAAAACAACAAACATTATGTCACACAGTTTCTGATGGTCAGGAATCCACAGTGGCTTTGCTGGGTAATTCTGGTTCAAGGCCTGTTATGAGGGTGCAGTCAAGAGTTGTTTAAGGCTATAAACATTTGAAGGTGTGACTGGCCTGGACCATCTACTTCCAAGCTCATTCATGTGACTTTTTACAAGAAGCCTCAGTTCTTTGCTGGTTGTTGGCCTGGAAGATTTTAATTTTTCAACACCCGAGCCTCCCTGTAGGGCTGCTCA